TTTTTTTTTTTTGCAGTTTTTGGCCGGGGCTGGGTTTGAACCTGCCACCTCTGGCATATGGGGCCAGCACCCTACCTCTTTGAGCCACAGGCTCTGCCAAAATGCCCAGCTATTTTTTTTACAGATGGGGTCTCACTCTTGCTCAGGCTGGTCTAGAACCTTGAAGCGCAGGCACCATGGGCTGACCTTGCATTTGTCATGGGTCTGAGCAGGTCTGGAATGGGGAGGGTAAGAGATGCAGGTGGGGCAGATGACAGTCTTTGCGCAGTAGTGACTCAACAGTTTTGTGTGTTGACTCCCTCCACCCTAAACCCTCGGTCATAGGCTGAAGCGGAGGAGGGAGGCCCTGTGGCACGTGACTCTCTCCATCCTTTAACAAGCCGGCAGTTAACCACACTGCCTCTGGCACCTGTCATGCTGCTCTCCGCAAGCACTCCAAGCTACCTTCCCACGGCCACTCATCTCCCCCCGCCATTGCCCTCTGGGTCTGAGAAGCACGGTGCTAAGGCTTAGTTGTGTTCCTCAAATTTCATGTGTCACTTAATTCCCAAATTCAGGCTGGAGTGGTGGCTCCCACCTATAATCCTAGCACTCTAGGAGGCCTAGGCAGGAGGATCACTTGAGCTTAGGAGTTCAAGTCCAGGGCGGCGCCTATGGCTCAAGGAGTAGGGCGCCGACCCCATATACCAGAGGTGGCAGGTTCAAACCCAGCCCCAGCCAAAAACTGCAAAAAAAAAAAAAAAAGAAAAGGAGTTTGAGTCCAGCCTGATCAACAGCGAGACCCCCTGTCACTACTAAAAATAGAAAAAAATAAGCTGGGACTGATGACACAAGTCTATAGTCCCAGCTATTCAAGAGGCTGAGGCAGAAGGATTATTTGAACCCAGGAGTTAGAGGTTACAGTTAGAGGTTATGATGACACCACTGCACTCTAGCCAGTGTGACAAAGTAAGACTCTGTCTTTTCCTCACTTTGTCACCTTTGGTAGAGTGCCATGGTGTCATAGCTCCCAGCAACCTCAAACTCTTAGGCTCAAGTGATTCTCTTGCCTCAGCCTACTGAAGCTGGGACTACAGGTGCTCGCCACAACACCTGGCTATTTTTTAGAGACGGTGCCTTACTCTTGCTCAGGCTGGTCTCAAACTGGTGAGTTCAGGCAATCCACCTGCCTCAGCCTCCCAGACTTCTAGGATTACAGGTGTGAGCCACTGCACCTGACCATAAGACTCTGTCTTTAAAAAAAAAAAAAAAGGTAAAAGAAAAAAGAATAGAAAGAGAGACTAGCTGACATGTGCACTCTTGCCCTCTGCCATGTCAGTGCAGCAGGTTGGCCCTCAACACATACAGGTGCTATGCCTTTGGACTTCCCAGCCGCTGGAATAGAGAGAAACAAATGTGTTTTCTTTGTAATTTGCTCAGTCTTCCAGCCTGAGCAAGAGTGACTTTGTCTATACTAAAAATAGAAAAACTCTCCAGGCACGTGGCAGGTGTCTGTAGTCCCAGCTACTCAGGAGGCTGAAGCAAGACGATTGCTTGAGCCCAGAAGTTTGAGGTCGCTGTGAGCTAGGATGAGGCCATGGTGCCCTATCCAGGGTGACAGAGACTCAAGAAAGAAAGGAAGAAAGAAAGGAAAGGAAGGGAAAGAGAAGGGAAAGGCAAGGGAAAGAAAAGGGAAGGGGGGAGAGGAAAAGGGCAAAGGAGAAAAAAAGAAAGTACTCAGCCCTGGGTATTCAATTATAGGAATAGAAAAATGGACTAAGATAGAAAATTATTATCAAATCATAGGGCTGTTGCCAATAATGAATACCTGAAAATATGAACGTGGCTTTGGAACTGGGTAGTGGGTAGAGGCCAGGACAGTTTTGAAGCTGAATGCTGGAAAAACCTTGTATTACTATAAATGATGATTTTTTTCTTTTTTTAGAGACAGAGTCTTACTTTATTGCCCTCAGTAGAGTGTCACCACGTCAGAGCTCACAGCAACCTCCAACTTTTTTTTTTTTTTTTTTTTTTTTTTTTTGAGACAGAGCCTCAAGCTGTCCCCCTGGGTAGAGTGCCATGGCATTACAGCTCACAGCAACCTCCAACTCCTGGGCTCAAGCGAGTCTCCTGCCTCCGCCTCCCAAGTAGCTGGGACCACAGGCGCCCGCCACAACGCCCGGCTATTTTTTGGTTGCAGCCGTCATTGTTGTTTGGCGGGTCCAGGCTGGGGATTCGAACCCGGCACCTTAGGTGTACGTGGCTAGCGCCTTAGCTGGTTGAGCTATAGGCGCCGAGCCGCAACCTCCAACTTTTGTGCTTAGGTGAGTCTGTTGTCTCAGCCTCCTGAGTAGCTGAAACTACAGGAGCCCACCACAACGTCCAGCTTTTTTTGTTTGTTTGTTTTTGCAGTTTTTGGCCAGGGCTGGGTTTGAACCCACCACCTCCAGTATATGGGGCTGGCACCCTACTCCTTTGAGCCACAGGTGCCGCCCAACGCCCAGCTATTTTATAAATGATGAATTAAGGAAGATTCCTTAGAAGAAAAGACTAGGAAAAGTCTGAAACTTCTTAGAGATTGCTTAAGTGGTTGTGACCAGAATGCAGACAGAAAAGCCGGCAGTCGAGGCCATGCTGATGAGGTCCCACATGAAAATGAAGCCCATCTTACCGGAAAGTGGAGAAAAGGCCAATCTCATCTACAGTGATGAAGAACTCAGCTGCACTGCCTCATGCCTGAACTTGAGAGTAATGAACTAGGATACCTGGTGGAAGAAATTTCTTAGCAGCCAAGTGTTCAAGATACTGGTGTGTTTACTTCTGGCTGCTTATCAGGAAGATTTGGGAGCACAGGGATGACTAAAAGATAGACCTTATCAATAAAAGGAAAAGGTAGGAAAATTTAGAAAATTTGTACCCCAGCCACATAAAAAGTGAAAAATTATGTTAAGATTTAAACTGATAGAAGGGAGTCAAAGTCAGAGGCTATTCCTCAGGATAATGGGAAAAAGAGCCTGAAGTATCTCTTTTTGTTTATTTATTTATTTTTTTCAGATAGAGTCTCCCTGGCCTGGCCTAGCTCATAGCAACCTCAACTCCTAGGTTTAAGTGATCTTCCTTCCTCAGCCTCCAGAGGAGCTAGGACTACAGATGCCACCACAACACCTGGCTCACTCTTTTTTTTTTTTTTTGGTAGAGACAGAGTCTCACTTTATTGCCCTTGGTAGAGTGCCTCACAGCAACCTCCAACTCCTGGACTTAGGTGATTCTCTTGCCTCAGCCTCCTGAGTAGCTGGACTGAAGGTGCCCACCACAATGCCTGGCTATTTTTTTTGTTGCAGTTTAGCTGGGGTCAGGTTTGAACCCACCACCCTCGGTATATGGAGCCACCCTACCCACTGAGCCACAGGTGCCATCCGGCTCACTCTTTTCTATAGAGATGGTGTTGGTCTCAATCTCCTGAGCTCAAGGGATCTGCTTGCCTCTGCCTCCCAGAGTGCTAGGATTATAGATGCGAGCCACCACACCCTCACGCCTGAAGGCATCTTGTAGATCTCTGAGGCTGTCCTTGCTCAGAGACCTAGCACGGAAGAATGGTTTTAGGCAGACTGGCTGAATGCACCTGTGAGGCCTGGACTAAAGTGGAAAAATACCAGTTAATTCCTGGCAAATTTCTGGGCCACAAGCCCTCAACAAAACGGAGTAAGTGGTTCACTCCCAAGATAGATGGGTAAGTGCTCATTGGCTCCTTGCTCGACTAACTCCCCTGAGAAACGGACCAGGAAGTACACTGTCCCTGAACTGACCTTTGAGAAATACCAGGTAGAAAAAGTAGTGAAACAAAGATATATGGCCAACTATGGCTAACTAACCACAAAATTCTGCTTCTGTACGATGCTTCTAACCTTACCCAAACGCAGCTGGGAAGCCTGTGTGCCAACCAGGAAGCAGAGCAAGCCTCAGACACCTGACCCCTTAAGCACCGGGGGCTGCTCTCAGAAACCCCATGTTGGGACACTGAGGCAGTCGCCGGCCAGCTCTTCAATAAAAGGACTCCTCTTTGAATTTTACTTGTCTGGCAGTACGGTCTTTGAGACTTCTGGGCATAACACACCCTCCACAGGCTCAGTGCCCAGAGCTACCTGGGCACTCTGCTTCCCAAATTCTAGCACAGCGCTCCTCAGCAGCCCATTTGTAGATTAGGGTCATCACAGGAGTGGATTATTTATCACAAAGTGCTACAAAAGGCCACTTTGATTTTCTCTCATGTGCCCCCCTTGCCCTGTGATATCTCATGCCATGTTATTACCCTCCCAGAAGCCAAGCAGATGCAGCCGCCATGCCCTTGGACTTCCCAGTCTCCAAAACTAAGAAATGAACCACTTTTCTTTACAAATTACCTAGTCTCAGGGACTCAGGTATAGCAACAGAAAACAGACTGAGACTTAAGCAAACTGTTGCCTGTCTTACAGACTACAGGCTTCCTAAGGTAATTCTGAATCATGTCCTGTAGGCCCGGGGTAGACAGATTCTATTGATGTCAGCAGGGTAAGCCCAGCCAAGGTCCCAGCTGTTTCCTGTCTGGGCCTTGAGTCCTGCCTTCCAGGTGACAGGTCAGAGGGTTCTAGTCTAAGGTTGTCTGAAAGTGCTTATGTTGCGTCCTCCTGCAGCACAGCGTTCAGACGCTCTACCAAGCCAGCCAGAATGCCACAGATGCCACAAAGAGAGGATTTGTAGGCACTGCTGCCAGGGTGACTGCTCTGATTTCTTGGGACGTGGGGACACCAAAAACAACCTAGCTGTCAAACTTCCAGAAACAACTCGCTGAACTACTTGTCTTCATAAAAATCCACTAGGGAACCGACACCCTGACAGAAACCATCCCGATGGGCTTCTTATCTTGTAGATGTGTAGTTTCCTAGAGGGCAAGGACACTGTGTCTTTGATAAGTTGTCTCTTGCACCATGAACATCAGGAGTGTGTTCTAAGTGGTGAGGCTTCAGAGACAATTAAAGGAGCGTGTTCTGAAAGCTGCTGTGTGCAGCCACAGCCATTTCAAAGAATTTCGCCATTAATTATAGTACCTGGTGGGGCCAAATGACTTTTGGTTCTTGGGCCCTTTTCAGGGGGAAAGCTGGTACCTAGGAGAGTTCTGCCTTCCCAGCCCTCCTCCTGCCCTCCAGGGGCTAAGCTGCTCCAGGAAGGGTGGAACGGAATCACCATCCTCCTCCCTCCCTGGAATGCCCCCGCAGCAGGTCCAGGGGCCTCGTACATCCCTTTCCCGAGGGAGAGCATGGCCACTCACCGCCCGTCCGCTTATCTTCTGGGCTGTTGCACAAGTGGTTCTGGCTGGCTTCTGTGGGGGGCTCTTCACTGGCAGGGCTGGTGACCCCGGGAATGGTGGGCAGATCCCTCGGGGGTGTTTTGGTTACAGGTGAGTTCCGACATTCCATGAGGAATTTCCGGTCATAGATGATCCTGGTACCTGGAAGGGCAACAGGGAGGGTGGTAAAGCCATTTTGAAACCCCATCTGCTGGTTTTTCCCTTTCTTTGAGGTGAGGTTTAGCAGAGGGCAGCAAGTTCTCCTGCAAAAGCCAGACCAAGGAAGAACGAGGCTTACTCAGGGGCTGGGCTGCAGCCTCCAAACCAACTCCTCTGCTCGTAAAGTGCTCTGATGGCTGAGGCCTGTGGACCACTAGACCACTAGACTGCACCAGCACCCTAAGCTCTGTCCCTAAAGCCCCCTAGCTCACTTGTCCATCCCTCTTTGATGTGAATTACCCATAACAATTATATTCCACAGTGTAGAAAGAACATTTGTATTCATTATGCAATCCTGTCCTTACAGTAATCCTGCAGGATACCCAAAACAGGTACCTTTTTTTTTTTTTTTTGAGACAGAGTCTCACTATGTCACCCTGGGTAAAGTGCTGGGGCCTATCATAGCTCACAGAAACCTCAAACTCTTAGGCTCAAGCAATTCTCTTGCCTCAGCCTCCTGAGTCACTGTAACTACAGGCACTCCCTACAATGCCCGGCTAGTTTTTTTTTTAGTAGAGATGGGGTCTCACTCTTGCTCAGGCTGGTCTTGAACTTCTGAGCTTAAGCAATCCACCTGCCTCCTAGAGTGCTAGGATTATAGGCATGAGCCACCACACCTGGTCTTTTTTTCTTAATGTAGAAATAGGTTCTTGCTCTATCTCCCAGGCTGGAGGGCAGTGATGTGAACACAGCAACCTCCAATTCTTGGGCTCCAGTGATCTTCCTGCCTCAGTACCCAGCTAAATATCATATTTTTTCTTTTTAGAGACAAAGTCTTGCTATGTTGCCCACACTGGTCTCAAATTCTTGGCCTCAAGCAATCCTCCTGCCTCAGACTCCCTCCCAAATCCCTGGGATTACAGGCATAAGCTATGGTGCCTGGTCCGAAATAGTTATCTTTAACCCCATTTTACAAATAAGCAAACTGAAAACCCAGTGATTCACTAAAACTAGTAAAAATGAGAACTTTTCCTGCGTGGACCTGGTAGAAACGAATGGGGAGGTGGAGACAGGTGGGCTCTCTGCTGAGCCCAGAGGCCCCAGAGCATCTGCAGTCCAGCTTTCCCTTTCACTGTCCTTTCCAAGTGCTCGTCTTAGCACTTAGCACCTGAGCACCTCCCTGTGTGAGGCCCTGCCTTCCTAATTATTCCCGATCCTCCACCACACCCTGACCATCCCACATGCAGTTGCCTAAGGGATCCCTTCCACGTATAAGGAAAGGAGTTGTTACTTAAAGTCTGAGGCCCAAGATCCAAAGGGAACGGTGAGGTTATTCTTGTTTGGTCCTTGCTTAATCCTGAGCAGCGGTAGGGTACTGGCCATCTAACATCTCTACAACATTTGCTGAGCGCTCCCTTTTCAACAAAGAGTAGGCCTTGGCTCAAGTCTTCAGCTGACCAATGGATGGAATCTTGGAGAATTGTCTGCTGTCACTGTGTTTCTTTTTATAGCGACTTTCTATTTATGGCAAGTAAATCTGGTTTTCCATATACAGTAATGATATTAAGTTCCCTTTTAATACATAATAATGTGTTATATATGTAATATACTGTATATATGTATAGGGTGGCACCTGTGGCTCAGTGAGTAGGGTGCAGGACCCATATACTGAGAGTGGTGGGTTCGAACCCCGCCCCAGCCAAACTGCAACAAAAAGTGCTGGGGTTGTGGCAGGTGCCCGTAGTCCCAGTTACTTGGGAAGCTGAGGCAAGAGAATCACCTAAGCCCAAGAGTTTGAGGTTGCTGTGAGCTGTGATGCCACAGCACTCTACTGAAGGTGACAAAGTGAAATTCTGTCTCTTAAAAAAATATATATATGTAAATAATATACTATATTTAAGTATAATATAATTAAATTTAAAAGGTGATACAAAAATACTAAATATTTGTACATGCAGAACACAAGGCATGGTAATAACTGTGCAGATGGACTATGAATAACTTGGGTTGGGATCATTGTTTAAGGACTTCAGGAATGCCCTTCCTCACCAATAACCAGGGAATAGCTCCTGCACTAAAGGGCTGTGATAAGCAACATTAGAATAGCTGAGATCTGTGTTTTTAAAAACATGTTTATTTTTCTTAATTTTTAAGGATATGTCATTGTATATATTGAGATTTTTTTTGAGAGCTTGCTTTGCTGCACCAGGTATCATTGCTGCAACCTCAAACTCCTAGGTTCAAGTGATCCTCCTGCCTCAGCCTCCCTAGTAGTAGAGACTACAGGTACCCACCATAACACTTGGCTATTTTTTTTTTTTAAGACAGAGTCTCACTATGTTGCCTTCGGTAGACTACCGTGGCATCACAGCTCACAGCAACCTCAAACTCTTGGCCTTGGCTGGCGCCTTAGCTACTTGAGCTACTGGTGCCAAGCCAGAGTTGTCATTCTTGTTTCGCTGGCTGGGGCTGAGGTGGAACCCATAAGCCTCGGTGTATGTGGCTGACGTAACCACTGTGCTACAGGCACCAAGCCTAATAGTTCTATTTTTAGTAGAGATGGGGTCTTGCTCTTGCTCAGGCAGACCTCAAACTCTTGAGCTCAAGGGATCCTCCTATCCTCAGCCTTCCAGAGTGCTAGGATTATAGGCACAAGCCATCTCATGAGGCCCTCTGTTGTTTCTTCAAGACTGGAGGGCTTGAGCAGGTGGCTTTGGGAGGCCAAGTGGGGAGGATCACTTGGGCACAGGACTTTGGGGTTACACTGAGCTATATGATTGTGAAATATTAGCTGTTTGTGAGACTGTACTCTAGCACAGGTGACAGAAGGAGACCCTATCTCCAAAACAAAACAAAACTCAGCAAAAGTCACCCCCTCTTGGCTTGGTGCCTGTGGCTCAAGTGGCTAAGGCGCCAGCCACATATACCTAAGGTGGTGGGTTCGAATCCAGCCTGGGCTCGCCAAACAACAATGACGGCTGCAACCAAAAAAA